ATTTCTGAAGAAGGGTCTAGGCCCGAAACATCAGCCTTACTGCTCCTATGATGCTGCTTGGCCTGCTGTGTTCATCCAGCTCTGCACCTTGTTGTCTCAGATTTTCCAGCATCTGCAGTTCCTACTATCTCCACCATCTACCATGGCAGGATTCAAACCCAGACCACAGCACATTACATTTATAATCCAGATTTTAAATCCAGTGACACTGATGGTCTTCCTGGTGCCACTGGTCCCAGTAACATCCCTATGATCTCAGCCCAGAAAAGCCGGCCTAGATGTGGGAGGAAATTAATCACATGCCGGAACATCAAATAATGGAGCCTAGCAGCAGCAGCTGGAACTCCCCAGTTGTGTTCATGTTCAAACCAGATAGCTGCACCAGACTCTGCATCAACTACCAAAAGATTAATGTAGTTTTCAGATACCCCAGCTGGAAGATTGCATAGTTAGGGTCAGTCAGGCAACTTACATTACAATGAAAGATTTGCTCAGGATGATAATGATAGGTTCCCTTGATGACTTGCACAGAGGAAATCACCACCTTCATAACCCCAGACAGACTATAACGATATCAACTCATGCCATTGGGACACTAAAATACCTCAGCCACCTTTGAAAGGCTGATGAATCAGATAGTGGCAGGCTTATGTCATTTCATAACATACAAAGACAAACTCCTAATGGACAGCAACACCTAGGAAGTACACCTAGTGCAACTGCAAGCCTTGTTCTGGAAAATACAGACAGCTAACCTTAACGGTCAACCTTACAAAACATAGCTTTGGGAAGACCCAAGTGAGCTATGTAGGACATGTAGTAAGCAGGTCAAGGGCAAGTACTGCCCAGGCCAGGGCTATAAATGTACAAGCCGTAGTACAGTTCCACATTCCTATAATGACAAGGAGAAACCACAACGGACTTGGGGATGTGTGGATTCTACCCTAAATTGGTCCACACTATTGACAGATCTGCTATGAAAGAAATGAAAGGTTAAATGGATTGATGTACAACAGGCAACTTTCAAAGGGCTGAAGACTATCATAATTGACCAGCCTGTGCCTGCAACTCTGAACTTTAACCGAACATTTAAAGTAGCCATTGATGTAAGTGATATCGGATTCTCCCTCTGGAAGACAAATTTGGCATAGACATGTACATTTCCAAAAACTAAAAAAAGCAGCAGAAATGATACTCTACAGTGGAGAAGGAAATCTTCAGTTTATCACTGACTCTCAAATACTGTGCAAAATGTCACTCTCTATACCAACGACTACCTATCTTTTGTGGAAATGTTCAAAATATAGAACGCCGTGTTATTCTGTTAGAGTTGATTTCACCAACCATACCACCCAAAAATCACTTTCATTGCTAGGAAATAAAATGTAATTGCTGATGCCTTGCCAGGTACAAGGTTAGAACTTAAAAATATAATACTGAGCAAGGCTGACAGATTGAATGTGTATGTGAATGCACTGTTTTATATTCAATTCTTTTTCTCCTCTAATTATAGTGAGAATTAATCTAATTGCTTTCATCATATGGGGTAAGTGTCAGACAATGGATCATAGCTGCAAATTACTTACAGACATGTCGAGCATTTAAGTTATACATGCTGTTTTGTTTTATTATTTTTAAAGAGCATGGAAGTCCAGGAAATTTCCTGTGTGGAATACACCCATTCTTGAGAGAGAGACCATGGAATGGCACACATGGATGGGTGTCAAGGTATTTTAGAATGTATCTCTCATTTTGAAATAGTCAATGAAAAATACGTGAACCATTACATATGAGTCACATCACAGACAATGGACATAATGTGAGGTAACTGGGAGAAATATAAAAGAAATGTCTGTGTCTCCCCTGCCTGAAATATGCAACAGAAAGAAAAGGGGAACCTGGTCTCAGAGTAAGGGACATGCCATTTAGCACCGAGATAGAGAGAAATAAAGGGTGGTAGAATTTAGCCTCAGAGGGATGTGATTGATTTTGTTCAAGACTGTGATCAGTAGATTTCCAGCTAATAAAACAGCAATGGACAGATAATGCAGGCGATGAAGTGGGAATCGGGCATAATTTAATTGCATTGGCCAGCACTCTCAAAGGGCTGACTGTTCCTATTTCTTTAGGTCTTACATTCTTAATTTATGGAGAAACAACATAGTTGAATCCCTCCACTATCATTGCTGAAGGTCACCCAGACACTGATCTGGAATGGAAATATAATTTGATGGCTTCCAGAACCATTAGAGGCTGGCAATTACATGGCAAGTAACTGAACTCTGACTCCACAAAGCCCATGTTTGCCATGCACAAGGCATAGACCAGAAGAATAATAGAATACTCTCCACTTGTCCAGACAAGGGCAACTCCAATAACAGTCTAGAAGCTCAACATGATCCAGAATGGAGCAGCCCAATTAATCATTAATACATCCACAATCTTAAACCCTCACTTGATCCACCATAGTGTTACAACTGGTCCTCGGGCAAGGGTCCTCGATTCATTGTGATTTCCTTTGTTCAACCCTGCTCTCTGGTAGTTACAACCATCTCAACACAAATGATCCCTTCCCTTGTGGATCATTTCCAATTCCACGGAATTTATGTTTTAAAAATGTCAAATTTGCCCATGCTTTCTTGAGCCGCTTTTATTGTCCAGAAATCTACCGATGACCATCTTGAACAAAATCAATCACATCCCTCTGAGGCTATATTCTACCACCCTTTATTGAGGAAATTCCTCCCTATCTCAGTGCTAAACGGCCTGCTCCTTATTCTGAGACCCAGACCCCCTTTTCTGAGCTAGATTATGTTTAACAAATGAACTGAAAGGTTTTGATTTTTGCTAAACTGGAGACTATTTTGATGAATTGTACCAACTGACAAATCTCGGTCTAATTCCACTTGTCTTTTCCCCAAATCCAATGGCAACTTAAACTAAGTTTTTTTTTCTCTAAGAAGTCTGCAGTGCGGGAGACAATCATGAGTTAATGCAGAAGGGAACTGCAAGTGATCTCAATTTACCAAGTCGGCTCTCCCCTCCCCTCCCCTGTCTCCCCGCTGTCCGCCCAATTCCACTTCGCCTTCTTTGCCCGTACAATGGAGGCAGTGCCTGCTTTCCTGTTGAAATCCTGGACACCCAAAGGCCGAATCTTCGCCGTCTTCACTTGCATGCTGATGTGCCTCGCCGCATTATGTTTCCTGCAGCTCAAACTCTCTAAACCCAAAAACAAAGATTTTTATTCTTTCCAAGTCCTGAATTCCAAAGGGAAGCTCGTCTCCTTGGAAAAATACAGAGGCAAAGTGAGTTGCATCAGAATCTTGGCTTCTTTGGCGTTTCTGAACGAGTTTTTTTTTAACCGCATCGGTCGTTTTATTGCGAAGTCTCTTCTCAGGATGTATATCTGTAGGTGTTGGTTTTTATTTTCACTACTGTCTGTTCACGGTGACTGGGTTTGCATTGTAAAACTCTGAATTAGTTGGCAGTCACACCCAAAAAAAAATCTTTTTTGTTTTCATAATAGACTATATTTTGTTTGAATACAACCGTGCCATTCTCCTTTGGGATCGATTGTTCAGCAGCTATTGTTTGTTGAAGTATTTTTGCATCAAGCAGTTTAAGACATTTTGTGTGTGTGTATTTCGTCCCTCCAGGCTTCTCTGGTTGTAAACGTGGCGAGTAACTGCGAGCACACAGAAGAATTATCAAGCCCTCCAAGAGCTACAGAGGGAGCTTGGGCCCATGCATTTCAACGTGCTGGCGTTCCCTTGCAACCAGTTCGGAAAGTCAGAGCCCGGCAGTAACTCCCACATCAACAGTTTCTCGAAAAACACTTACGGAGTCAGTTTCCCCATATTCGGCAAGATCAAAGTGTTAGGCAACGAGAGTGATCCTGCGTTTCGCCATCTTATAGGTAAGGCAGCTTCAACCGTGCCAAATTCTTGCCTAGTTTCTTGATAAAACAATAATTTTATTTACCCTAAATAAAAACCGAAAGAACTGCGGATGCTGTAAGTCAGAAACAAAAATAGAGATTGCTGGAAAAGCTCAGCAGGTCTGGCAGCATCTATGAAGAGAAATTATTTTTCTTCACAGATGCTGCCAGACGTGCTGAGCTTTTACAGCAATCTCTAATTTTATTTACTTGCCTGTTCACAAATAATCATCTGAAATTAAACATTTGTTCTTCATTTCAGTTGTATTTATGGACAACGTTGTTCAAAACCAACATATTGAGCTTTAAAATTCATTTGACTTGGCTGTTAACTATCTCTGCTACTTCATTCTCATCACTGAGACAAATCTCACCCAAGTCACTCCCCTGACCTTCCAAATTCTTATCTGAAGGATTGCAATACAAGGGATAAAACCTGATTATAAATCAGTAAAAAGTTGTTAGACTATTGTCATGAAAGGAAAATCCAGCAAAATGCTGGAAATTGGAAATAAAAACAGAAAGTGCTACAGAAACTTGAGACGAAACACCAATTGACTCACCACAGAGGCAAACATACTTGCTGAGTTTCTATAGCATTATCTATTTATAAGCCTGGAGTCCTTATACAAGAGGAAAGTAGTGTGGTGGTAATTTTACTAGACACTAATCCAAAGGCCCAGACAAATGTTCCCGGGACATAGGTTCAAATCCCACCACAGTAGCTGGAAGAATTTAAAATCAGTTGAACAAAACAAAATCTGAACTATACAGCTAGTCTTAGCTTTGTAGTTTGTTCAACTGATATTAAATTCTTCCAGCTATAGTGGTAGGATTTGAACCTCTGTCACTAGAACATAAAGCTAGTCTTAGCTTCATGATTAACAATCAGCAACGAAAAAAGGTTCAGAATGGTCCTGAGGAAAGCAAATCTGCCCTGCTGCCACAAGACCATAAGAAATAGGAACAGGAATGGGCTGTTCAGCCTCTTGAGTGTACTCTGCCATTCAATAGGATCATGGCTGATCCAACATTCTTCACATTCACTTTACTGGCTTTTCCCTATAACTCCTGATTCCCCTACTGATCAAGAACCTAATAAGGCCATAGCTACATGTGATTCCAGATCCACAACAGTATGTTGATTCTGAAATGGCCCAGCAAACCACTTATTTCAGTGACAGTTAGGTATGGGGCAACAAATGTTGGTCTTGCCAGTGACACCCAGTTCTCATGAAAGAATAATTAAAATTGTTCAGTCCTAAACTTAGGAAGGATACCTTGACATTAGGTGACCACCAATGACTAAGGGTTAAATTACAATGAAAGATTATATAAATGAGGAATGTGATCACTAGAATTTAAGGGGTAATTTGACCCAAGTTTTTAAGATATTAGGGAGAACTGGTAAAGTCAGAAGAAAGACACTAAGTGGGATCTTCCTAGCCCTTGAAAGACTTGGGCATTGCTTGGAAAGTCAGGAAAATTGCATGAGGTTAGCAGTGAGGAGCTTCCCATCATCAAGAGCAAAATGTCCCATTTTCTAATCAAGCTGTGAATGTTGGGATGAGATTCTTGCATGTGGGTACAGTGAGAAGCCTGTTAACATGCATTCCCATCCTCAACATTCTATCATCTTGGATTCACAGTTTCCCATTCTGCCTGCCAAGTAGAAACTAGACTGTTCCCAAAATGAAATCAGAGTTGTTTCCTGGTGACTGCAGCTTGCTGCTTGCTACTCTGGTCCTCCATCATCTCAGACCATGCTCCGTGCGGAGGGGCCTCAGGCACCACTAGTCCAGCTGAACCTTCAGGCCCCTGACAGCCAGGCAGGGTGCCAATTACCTTCTCTCTGGCGCAGAAAAAACCAAAACATTCAGGGAAGCTGCAGCTTGTTGACATTTGTCCTGGTGCACAGCTGACCAGTAAAGATGGCACCTGCTCAGGAAAACCAGGAGAACCCAAGAGTAGCTAATACCTCTGCCTTTGGAAAGGGGGAGAATCTGAGTGGGGCATTGTGGGGGTGTAGTGCTGAGGTAATGAGGCAGTTCAGGAAGATAGTGAGTGAAAACCTGCTAAAGCTCATGGAGAGAAATGCTTCATGAAACTTGCCAAAATTGACCCAGTGGATTTATGTTAAGATTCAGCCACTATGTCCACTGGTTGGAGAGTTGAAAACTAGGGTGACATAATCTAAGAGCTAGAACTCATCCTTTCAGGGGTGGCATCAGGAATTACAAAAACTGGTGGTAGCAGTTTAGAACACTGTTCCAAAAGTGGCAATTGATCATTTTAACCCTGAGATTGAGGTCTGGGATATGGAACAAGGGTGGGTTGATGGTATTAGGTCACAAATCAGCAATGATCTCATTAAATGACAGACTCAAGGAGCTGAATGTTCAACTTCTTATGTTTCACTCCCTTTTTTTTCAATCCTCCACCAAATCCAAGTTGTCTCATCAAGGGACTTGCCCTCTTCTCCCTCCACTTCATTTTTAGTAAACACCTGATGACCAACGTACCTTCCTGATAGCCAGGCTTAGCCAACTTAGTCATTGATCCAGTCTGTTCGGGCTTGCAAAAGTCTTAATACCCTCCTCTCAAAAAGCTAACCTCCAGTCCCTCCATATTTTACTTAGTAGCACTCCATCCCAT